ATTTCTCTTTCACTACCCCTTCCCCACCCCAGCCCCATCTGCCCATTGTTTTCCAGCTCCTTTCAGTTCTGAAGAAGTCATACTGTAACTCGAAATGTTAGTTCTGTTTCTCTCTCCACAGATGCTGCCAGAATTGCTGAATTTTTCTCAGCATGTTTTGTTTTTATTTCAGATATCCAGTATCCATGGTATTTTGCTTTTATCTGTGGTGTCAAACTCCTGGTGTTCTTCTGCTCTGCCATTCCTGCTCACTGTTGCTTGTTTATCTGTTGGGATATTCTGTCCTGTTGACTAAATGCATTTCTCTTTAAAGGAGAAGGCTGTAATTAAAACCTACGAATGCTGCTAGATTCCCTGTCACCTCAATAGATGAGCTGTCAATTACAAAAACAAACAGAACTGACAGCTCTTCCGCATTATGGAAATACAGCGTACAACTCAAAGTAATGAGCACATTAAGTCAACTGATGCAGGCAAACGTAACAGATAACTTGCCTACATTGCACTGAAAATTTCTCACCATGTTGATTTCTATATATTTAGTTCTTTGTTCAAGTGTCTCCTGTTTAGTTCGAAGAAAACATGATTTGAATCAACAATCTTTATAAATGAGTGAGAAGGTCATTTACTTTGCAGTACAGATTATCAATCCATCACAGCAGTCTATTTTTATCCAATTTGTTCGTTATATTTGTTAATTATGTTTTTCCACAATCTATTTATGGAGTGTTACTCCCATTTTATTAAACATTTTGTGAACAATAAAACAACTCTAGTGAAGCTATTTACTTCTAGATGGGTAAATTGAAAACATGAGTTTTTGGTATTAAAATATAATTTGTATGCACATTATTAGAAATGGGATAATTTGGAAAATAAATAAGTGCGGTTTCCTTTTGATTTAGGATGAAGACTTGATAATGAATTGTGTTTAGATATAGATACAAAATCCCACATATTATTGGAATTTTATTACATTCCAAGAAATAACAATGTATCCCCTGTGTAAAAATATATTTGAAATTAGACCATTTTTATCTGCAACATTGTTATTGCTATGCCTAATTCCAAATTTATTTGACTTTAAATTTACAATTTTCACTATAACATGTAGAAAGCTGGATATGTCAAAGCAAATTGCTTTTTAGTACTGCAAGGAAACAGAGCACCAACATTTTACAAAGATGAATTCTATTAGGTAACATCCAATAAACTTGCTAATTTACAGCTGAGATGAAACAGATAAATTGGCAGTCCATCATACATCTCATTTTAACAACCTAGGAAATCAAAATGTTAAGTCTTGAATCAGCAGGCACACATTTTGCTTAATATTTTTCTCCAACTTTAATAATGTGAACTAACACTTTATTAATAAGCAACAGCAGCAGTGCACAACATACTAGAATCCATTAACAAATGCTCTGTCCAGAGACACAGACATAAAGAAGAAATAAACTACCTTGCAAGTGATTTGATGTTGTGACTTATGCGGCTCTTGTGACTCAACACTGATTCAAATATTAATTCATTGTCATTGTAATTTAGTATTGTGGCTTGGACCAAGACCATTACAAATTGGATTGTGATTCCCCAACTCTTTCCATTTTAGGGAAGGCAATTTTTGTTCCATCTGTCTCAGATGGATTTGACCTCAAAAGTCTGCAGTGAAAAAAATGCCAAATCTCTTTAACTCTTCACTTTAATCTCTGTTCTTTCACCCACTGATAGTCTGTAAGCAACAAGCTGTTTGAGATATGTTGGGCAAAGGTAATGATGGCGTAGGATACTCTGCTCCTTCAAGATGCATGACAGATTAGTGTTTATGGTACAGTGCTATTAACCTCATTCTTAATACTAATCCTCTGATAATGGATAGAGGAAGAGGGGGAGGTTACATCTTATACAAATGAGGAACATGCCCCAACTCATTTTTATGACGGTGAATGATGAGGCAAGTGTCCACTGTTGAAAAGCAGAAAGCTTTTGTCAAAGTGTATAAATCAGGCACTCATTGCAATTGGGAGCCTGATTTAAATGCTGTTAGTTGGGTATCCAAGGAGTCAGGAAACCTGACAGTGAAATAGAAGAAGGAGATTTGTCAACACTCCTTGTGGACCAGGTTTAGCAGAACTGCCCACATCCACCCTCCCCCCAATCTCTTAAGGATCCCTTGGCTAACATCTTACTGATAGCAGCTTCTTTTTTCCCACTGCCACAATCAGTGAACTTGCACCCACAACCTCCAACATGATCTGCAACCTGCCACATGGTTCAACTATCTGTGCCAATCCCAGTTTGCAGTCAATCCACAATCCAATTCTCCACAGCTAAACATTGATTTACAGTCAAAGTCACCATCTCCAAGCCTGATCTATAGTTGATTTCGTGATCATAAATTTTGGGGCATGGTCTCTGGGAATTTCTGGTTTCCTGTCACTGGTTTTTCTGAAGCAGGAGGCATAATTGACAGAAAATAGTAAATATACAAAATGAGACTCAAGCATTAAATTCAGCATGATTTCATCATCCCCAGCTTTGTCAATTTTTTTCCCAGACACCCCCATGTAATTGGGGCCAATGAGTTCAATTCACACCACAATAAATTATCATATTGCATTTGGGGGATAAATATGTTTAACCAGAGTTGGCCACATAATGAGACCAAGTTAAGTAAAAAAAAGTGACATAACTATGAACTGATTAAATCCATATGAACAAAAGTATATTGTATGGCAGGGGCATGCTGAGGCTGTAAATGGTGAGCACCTAAATAAGCATCAGTCTTATTTACAGAAACACAATAAAAGGATTGGATAATTTAGTGGTTAGTTGTAAGCAAAAGCTTTAAATTATCTAAGTAATGAGTTTGCACTTAGTGGATATATTCAGTGGAAAATGGCTACTTGTACAAAGAGAACTGAAAACAAGAGAATCTACTCTTTTAGCTTTTATCTTAGGAGCTCTTTTCAGCAATTGATGAAGTAGTATTTGGAAGAAGCCTTAAACAGTTAGCTGAATAGTCTGCTGGCTTGAAATGGCAGTTCTCAAACTGGGTTTATAGACTACTCAAGTTCAGAGACTTCTCAGGAAGTCAAAAAAAATTGGACTGTGAAATTTGGCGATTTAAGAGAATAGGACTTTTTAAAATAAATGAGGTGCAGCAAGGGAACCAACTCATTTACATCTATAGTCCTTTGAAGAATGACCACAGGAAGCAGTTCACAGTAAGTGAAAAATCATTGGCTAGAGGTGGCCTTGGGGTGAGGTAGAAACAAAGTACAACTCTGCTAGAAGGGGAGCATGCATGGAGTAGTGCTGAGAGCAACATAACATTTTACAAAGCAAATAATCATCTGGTTGCTCCAGATTTTTACTATTTTGTGTTGAACATATACAGAATTCATTGAACTGATTTAAAGTGCCAATTACCAACATTTAGCTAGGTTATTAAATTTGATAGTTTCTGTATCTGAATTTACATTGTATTTCATTGACACCTGTAGATAAAAACCTATTTGCTTAAAAAGCATTAAATAAAATACTTTCCACTGTCAGCACTTTGAATATATGAATAATTTTGATGGGGAATCTGAGATTACTAATCTATTTATAAAGGATTCTTCAACGGGGAGGGACAGGTTGGAGAGAGGAAAAAGGATTAAAGATATACTTAGGTTATATACTTAGGTGCTGGAGCAAGAGGAGCAGCCCACATCCTTTTGCCTTTTAACTAAGTATGGTACCAATTGGGCCACAGCTGACATTGGAGGGAGGGGAAATCTAAACATTAGATAAGATCTGATCTGATCCAAAAATAACATTGACATGTGTGCTTTCTTGCTGATTTTAGATAGAGACACAACAGGACCAAACTTCTTGCTACTGCCACTTCAGAGCATGGATGCATTTAAGAGGATGAATTAGGAAAAGGAGTAGAAAGTTCTGCTGACAGCATGACATGAAGCAGGTGAGAACAGGTTTACGTAGAACATAAGCATGGATGTAGACAATTTGGGCAGAATGGCAATATTCCTGTGCTACATATTCTATGTAAATGTACATTCACTAACAGGCTAACACACCAGTAGAAACATATGGATGCAATATGGTGCTGCTGAACTCCTGAGCTGTCAATAAAACAACGTTTTGTCCTCCATGTCCCGGCTAGGGATTGCATAGTCCTTACCGCTGATAAATGTTGAAAGGTGTTCTTTTTGCTGCTAAAGATATTTTTTGCTGCCAGAGAAATGCTGGACCCAGGATTTGATAGACATGCAAATTATTTGATAAGCATGCAAAGTCCAGAATTACAAAGTTGCACATTGCAGGAAAAATGCCAATGGATGTATTTCTCTAATTTGCATCATCTCTCAAAATGCATGTCTATTTCTGGGAGAATGTGCTGAAAGCTTCTGGACACAGGCAGCTGAAAATGGGGTGAGTGAGTGAAAAAAGACAAACAATTTTCTGTCCCTAGCTGTCCTGTTCAGCAAGGAGTGAATAGGAAAACCTGGTCTGTGGTTGCTAGATCTTACTTTCATGTAACCTCCCCTTAGGCAGGACTACCCAAAATTTACATTACTTTTCTCATGGTTACTATCACAATATATAAGATTAGAAAATCTAATGAAAAATAGTGGTTAAGCATAACATTCTTGGTTCTAAGATGTTCATTTTCCTCCCATGTTTCCCAAATGTCTCTGTCAGTGGGGTTTTATTTGCCATTGATATATCTGTGGTAGAATAATTAATAGAGGTGATTGCTGCAAGTAGGAAAAAAATTACATTATATTTGCATTATGTAACTATCAGCATGGTAGAAACGGAGCTAAGTGGACATTGGTCATTTTCATCTATCATCTCAAACAGCCTTGCAAAATTGCTATCTACGTGAAAACTGGATTAATGGAACTCTAAATGAAGGGAAAATATGTGAATCAGCTTCCAATCATCAGTGCTGCTCATCAGAGTTTATTGTGCCTAACTTGTTATGTCATCTATTGAAAGGGCCTAACATTACTGTATGATTAATATGTTTTCAGAAATAAGTTTGACTAATTCCATAAAGTCAAACTTTTCTGAAAAGCCCTGATTTCCTGACCTTACTCTTCAATAATCCACTGTATCAAAGAGTTAATTTTATGGTGAAAGTTTATGATATTTATCAAAACCTTTCCGGTTACTGTGTAATTTCTCATTCTCTGTAGATTCATAAAGTGGACCTAACATTTCCTGTCACCTGCCAAATGGATTTTTTTTAGTGATAACAAATTCTGGCCATAAGCATACAACTGCAGTTTCATGCTGACATGGAAATATCTTAAAACTTAAATATTTACAAATCTACTTTCTTCGACCAATTTGTGCCATCAGACGAGCATTTGCTGCTGCCTTTGCTCTCATGCTTTTAGCTTTTGCAATGTTTAAAAGAATATTAAGAATGTTCGTGGGCACATCTAGGGACAGAGTGAACTTGGTTCGACGATTGTTCCTTGCATTATTCTGATACATTTTTCTTTTCAATTGTGTTCGGTTGAGATACTTATATCGAGCAAATGGCAATGTCCTTTTCTCTTTTTCTTCTGCAAATGAAGATATATCAGTTGGTAGGTAGGCGAACTGTCCATCCTTCAGTGAGGCGTTCTCTTGAGGTTCATCCTTCATTGCTTCAGAAAGCAGCTCGTTGTTACAAGAATAATTTTTGTTTATTTTGTATAGTCTGTAGCCAAAGTTGCTTCTTGCAGTGCAACATACAGTTAACAGGAAAACAAGCTTCGTGAAAGACATCATTTTATCCTATTTCAAAACACAAAGGAAGTAATTCAGATCAATAGCAACTCTGGAACAATAGCTATTTCTCTACGGTAATCTAAAAAATAAGCAACTCAGTAGGTTTGGTACTAACCACGGTTCCAAAGAAGAATCATATTGGACTTGAAATGTTAGCTCTGTTTTTCTCTCTTTACGGATGCTGCCAGTTCTGCTGAGTTTCTCCAGAACTGTTTTTATTTCATATGTCCAGCATCTGCAGTATTTTGCTTTTATAAAATGTATGAAATATTATTTAAATAGATGAATGACAGTAATACTAATTAAATTGTACAAACAATTTATTAGCAGCTTTGGAAACTCCACTTATGTGACAGTGAAAAGTTGCAGAACAAATTACAACGTGTTATTGGTGTGCCAATCTAATTTGAAAAACTGTTATCAAAAGAAAGTGTTTTATCATCAGAAGCCCTTCAGAGAGTGGAAGAGCTAAATAGAGAATGCAGCAGGAATCTAATCAGTGATGGATTAAAGTGCCATCCAGACCAGAGAAAAGTACTTTACAGCTACAACGTTATAAAGTTACATTTTTGCAGCAGTGTCCAGTGAGATTGCTCCCAAGGATATAAGTGGCAAAACAAATCTGGCATTAAGAGAGTCCAACGATAACCTTGAAACCATTGTCAACTATTGGAAAAACCCAATTGGTTTACAAGAATAATACCTGGACTTTAGGGGTTATGAGGAGAGATTATACAAAGTAGGTCTGTTTTCTCTTGAATTCAGAAAGTCAAGGAGTGATCTGATCAAAATCTTCAAGATATTAACAGGAAAAGACAGGACAAATAAACTATTTCATTGGTTGGGGAATCTAGTACTAGGGGACATGTGCTAAAAATTAGTGCCAGTCCATGCAAGAAAGATGTTAGGAAGTATTTCTACACCCAAAGGGTGGTAGAGATTTGGAACTTTCTTCCACTAGTGGCAGATAATGCTAGATCAGTCGTTAATTTTAAATCTGAGATAATAAAGTTTTGTTAAACAAAGGTTTTTAGGGATATGGGCCAAAGGCGGATACATGGATTTAGGCTGCAGATCAGCCACAATCTCATTGAATGGTGAAAGTGCTCAAAGGGCTGAATGGGCTTCTCCTGTTCCTATGGTTCAGTAAACGAAGGGAAGGAAATTGATGTCTTTACCTGGTCTGGCATGGATGTAACTCCACACCCACAACAATGTGGTTGACTGTTAACTACACTCTGGCAATTTAAGGATAGGCAATAAATGCACGCCCAGCCAGCAATGCCTACATCCTGTGAAAAAAAAAATTAAAAAGGGATTTTCGAGTCCAGCACTATTTCCTAGATCAGCTGTATTGAGAGACAGAGAGAGAGAGAGAGACAGTAAGAACCCACATGGTAAAAACTGTGAGAGTAGGACCAGCAGGATATTTGCACAGGTTGTGAACACTTACCTAGGTATAAGGTTTGTACAAATGCATGTAGCAAAGTATATAAAGTCAGTTAGAAATACAAATACCAAAAAGGTTTGATACCATGGCCATATTGAGACCTATCTGTATTCAGAGTATGATTGGAAGCTGAATTTCCTGGCTATAGATTTTTCTCAGAAGAATGGGAAAATTGGATAAGAAGTTGTAGCAGCATGATAAAAGTCACAATTACACAGTAGAAAGAAGGGTCAACAGTCAGGTTGGTCAGGCAGTGGAAACACTATTGTTATGTAATGTAGTGGCAGGGATGCATAATTATGGAGAACAAAGAAAGATAAAACAAAAAAAGCTATAAGAAGAGATTTTAAATTTCACACAAACTGTTCTGCTTCTCTCAGGTGGCAAAGATAACAAAATTCTAGAATTATTCAGAACATGGTTAGTGGATTAGAGGGCTAAGCAGCAGATGTTTTCCAAAGTAGGTAATAAAATTTAACCCAGAGAAGGATTTAGGAAAAATAGTGAGAAACCTTTTACTCTCTTTAAAGTTTTAGCATACGGTATAAATGCCAAAGAGACAAAGTCTGAAACAGATAAGTTTAAAAGTGGAGAGACAAGTGGAGTTTGTTTTTGGGACAAGTGTATAGACTTGAACAAAAACAGAAATTGCTGGGAAAACTCAGCAGGTCTGGCAGCATCTGTGGAGAGAAAGCTGAGTTAACATTTTGGATCCAGTGGCCCTTCTTCCAAACACAACTTGTTTCGGGCTTTGCTTTCTCTCCACAGATGCTGCCAGACCTGATGAGATTTTCCAGCAATTTCTGTTTTCGTTTCTGATTTCCAGCACCTGATGGTCTTTGTTATTTTTGGATAGGATCCTAAGTGTGATCAACCAGGATATAGGACAACAAAAGCATATAAATAATGATAAGTCTGTATAAATTATTGCCTAGGCCAGAGTTAGAATATCATATTCAGATGTGGCTCTTTTGATTGAACAAATATATCAAGACTATGGAGAGGTTGCAAAAGAGATCCCATCGTTACTGTTAAAATATTATGAGGAGATGCTAGCATACTGGTAATTCCACTGAGTCACACAGCTGCACAGCATTTCCAAGCTTTACAGCATTCAGCCAACTCGTCCATGCCAACCAGATATCCTAAATTAATCTAGTCCCATTTGCCAGCATTTGGCCATACCCCTTTAAACTCTTCCAATTCATGTACCCATCCAGATGCCTTGTAAATGTTGTAATGTACCAATGTCCAGCATTTCCTCTTGCAGCTCATTCTATACATGCACCACCATCTGTGTTAAAAATTGCCCCTTAGGTCCCTTTTAAATCTTTCCAGTCTCTTAAACCAATGCCGTCTACTTCTGGACTCCCCTACCCTTGGTAAAAGACCTTGGCTAGTCACTCTATCTATGCCCTTATGATTTTATAAACCTCTATAAAGTCTCAGCCTCTGACACTCCAAAGAAAATAGCCCCAGCCTATTCAGCCTCTCCCTATAGCTTAAACCCTCCAACCCTGGCAACATACTTGTGAATCTTCTCTGAATCGTTTCACATTTCAGAACATCTTCCTATTAGCAGGGAGACCAGAACTGAATGCAATATTCCAAAAGTGGCCAAACTAATATCCTGTACAGCCGCAACATGACCTCCCAACTCCTATACGCAATGCACTGATCAATAAAGGCAAGCATACCAAACTCCTTCTTCACTACACTGTCTGCCTCTGACTCCATCTTCAAGGAACTATGAATGTGCACCCCATTGACTCTTTTTTGGCAACATTCCCCTGGACACTACCATTAAACGTATAAGTCTTGCCCTGATTTGCATTACCAAGATGTAACACCCCACATATATCTAAATTAAACTCCATCTGCCACTCCTCAGCCCATCGACCCATTTGATCAAGGTCGTGTTGTACTCTGAGGTAACCTTCTTCACTGTCTACTACACTACCAAATTTAGTGTCAAATTTACTAACTATTCTTCCTATATTCACATCCAAATCATTCATATAAATGACAAAAAGCAATGGACCTACAACCATCCTTGTAGCACACTGCTAGTCACAGGCCTCCAGTTCAAAAAAAACACCCTTTGTCTCCTACTTCAAGCCAATTTTGTATTCAAATGGCTAGCTGCAAGGATGGACAAATGTTGGAGACACAAGGTGATCTAATGTCATTCATTATTTGCCCAATTGCTGTTTAATGTCCCCAAGATACGTTCAGCAGCACACTGCTTCTCCTAGCTGGAATACTTGAGAAACTGACAATATAAAACGATTATTGTGTAGAATTTCTCATTGTGTGTATTCACGCTAAACCAAAAGAGCACTTTCCATCTATTGATAGGTATTCTCCAGTTAAGTCAGAATGAAGACACAGTACTCCAGGTGCTAAATCTTATGTCTACTTTTGCTTTAGAAAGTGGTTGTGTCAAGTTTAATGAAGGGATTTCAGCTGCAAGGCCTAGCGAGTATTCTCGCGGTATCTTACGAAACTCACTTTATTAACTATATACCCCACACCTGTGATGTAGTTCTATCCTACCATGCACCATTCCTGGAACAATTTGCCATTCACCAAATATCCAGGAATTCACCAGCATCCCTTGCACCTATCTTTAAAAACCTGTTCTGCACCGAGACATTTACTGTCAGTCTGGAGCTGCCTTGCATGGTTCCTGACATTTGCACTGGACACAGAGTCATAGAGTAATACAGTGTGGAAACAGGCCCTTTGGCCCAAACTGGTCCATCCTGACCATGGTGCCCACTCAGCTGGTTCCACTTGCCCGCATTTGGTCCATATCCCTCTAAACCGTTCCCATCCATGTACCTATCCAAACGTTTTTTAAGTGTTGCTATTGTACCTGCCTCAACCACTTTCTCTGACAGCCCATTCCATATACACACCTCTCTGTGTGAAGAAATTGTCCCTCAGGTCCTTCTTAAGTGGCAGACAAGGGAAATTTGATACACTGTTTTGCAGGCAGGGTCTTGGAGGTCCTGCTAGATGGAGTAGTGCAGATGCAGGCCTTCCTCTTTCCCCAGCAATGGAGGTCACAACACTAAACCATTCCATCCTATTCTGATGTCTCCGCCTAAGCTAACGTAGTTTCAATCATTGTGGGGAACGTCCAGCACTGTAGGATGAAGGTAAATGATCTTCTCCACTCTGCCAGCATAAGTGTCCCATCTTCTTTCCGATACCTCGCACTCACACTATCTCTGCTGCTATAGCCACCTGCCCTTGAGCTCATGCTCTGCCACCCTCATTATTGCTTGCAATATTTTCTGACCCTTGCTGTGACCGACCCCAACTACTTACACCACTAACGTTGGACAACTTTGGCACTGCCTATTTGTTCACTCGGGATACCTTGTCACCTGCACCAAAAGAAACCGCTGTGCCATCCACTTTCATTTCCCTTAATACCTGCCTCTGTCTCATTCCTACAGAAATACAATCCACAGCAAAGCAGAAAGACTGAAGCCAGTTGGTGGGCTTCCTGACATTCAGCTCCTCACCCCTAGTATGGAGAACATCC